GTAACTACGTAGTAGTTACGTTACGGTTACGTTACGTACGTAGTTCGTACGGTACACGTACGTACTATAGTACTACTACTACTCTATATTACGTTCGTCTCTCTCTCTCTCTCTCTCTCTCTCTCTCTCTCTCTCTCTCTCTCTCTCTCTCTCTCAAGGTACACTTCCATAACTTTTCAAAAGATGCAAAATATATTTCACATTTAATTATGAAATTTAAAATGTAAAAAATGGTGCAGATCAAGCAGATATGCAAATACTTGAAAATCTTGAAAATGGATGGTCTAGAAAATGTGTTACAAGATGTAAGAATTTAAGGAATAGAACTTTTTTTTTCTTTTTCTTCCCATAACCGACATCTCGAACTCAAGAGGATCAATTGGAGGGTTTTCAGCATAAAAAATAACCTTTTTCGAAGGATTTTGAGGCCTGCCTTACTTCTACAGTATAAGGTTGACACCTAATATAAACTTTTCCCTACATAGGGGAGTCATGCAACAGTTCTATAGTAATATAATGAAACAATCTTCAAAAACCATATTAGGGCAATTTGTTTGTCCAAAATTTTTAAATATACACTCTTTTAATTCTAATGAATAATCACAAAAAAAGAAAAATTTAAAAACACAACCTAGAAAGTGTTTTTTTAAGCCCAATTAACATAGACCGTCCATTTTGGGAAGATGCTTAGATCTAGGCCATAGAAAGGATCTTTTATATAAATTTATTACCATTAGATTAACAATGTTAAAAAAAAAAAAAAAGGCCTAGATCTTAAAATTCACCAAATGGACAGTCTACTATCATTGTTGGAGGGGACTCATTTTGACTATATATAGGGTCCAAATTTTTAAAATTGATTATTGAGATGAAGAGAGTATGTGTGCAAAATTTCAGGTCATACAAATACCACAAACATAGTTTTCTAGAAGTGTACTTTCATTATATTACAAAGACATGTTGACATGATATCATTTCCCATATATATATATATATATATATATATATATATATATT